TACATATGCAAATATGTTTTCTTGATTATAAACAAATACCACATTTGAATAAGTAAGCCCAGCCAGGGCCTACAATAACTGGGTCACAAGGTTAATACAAACCAATTACGCAGAGAGTTTAGAAGGAGACAGGAAGCACAATATTTACCACATAACTGGCAGAGTGATGTACCAGTGCCAGACAGGAACAATTGTTTTAATACACGCTCTGTGACTCTGCCCTCAAGTTTCACTGTAACAGTAGTGAAAAAATAAAAACAAAACACAAGAAACTTCGGCTGTCAGACAGCGATGGGGAGCGGGGTGTACGATAAACTGAACTGAATCCACAAACCCCAGATCTTTAACATAAAACCCTGGATAAACACTGAATGTTGTCATGAAAGTGCTGTTCATTTTTTATCCTCTGGCAAGTCTAACCTCAAACTGTAGGAAAAATTGAAGCTATCAAAGCTTGGGACTGACATCACCAAATCTGGTTCTGTATCTAAGGAGACAACTTTCATGCTTCTCCTTTGATGCTTTGACAGGCTTGATAACTATAAATGTCTACGTATCGGACGTGTTTATGCTGGGGATGTTTGCTGTGACCCTGGCGTGTGGCTGCGGGACACTGCGGGGGGTCCTGCTTCCTGTTTATCACATCCTCCATGCGAATGTCAAACAGTTTACCTAACAAGGTGCTCTCTCTATGTCTTCCCTCCGACTCAATAGTATTCACCAAGCAGACACACATAGTACCACGCATCATACAAGTGACACTGACATACAGGCTGATTCACTGTATGCACAACACTTTCTCTCTTGAACACACACACGTGCACAATGGAAGAAGTTTTTTTGATTTGTCATGAGAATGCATGTATATTTATAGGAAATGTTCAGTATAAAATAGAGAAAATTACACAATGCTTACAAGAAAATATTTTTTTCTTTAAACTGAGAATGATCTGTAAATTAAAATAATGCAGATATTATTGTAATTTTGATGAAAATTGTTATTATTTCCTGATAATAAACTCTTCAATGTGGCAATTACTTCAACTTAGGAAGTAAGCACCATGCAGAAAATAAGTAAATAAATAAAATGTGCTTCATTTGGTATTGTACCTGTCAAGAAAAATATAACATATTTTGCACATTAACTTTCTTTTTCTTTTGTATATGGATGCATTTTAAAGCTCATGTTGTTGTTGTTGTTGTTGTTTTTTTCTTTTTTTTACAACAAACTTCTGTACAACTTTTTTGTCCTTTTGTAGTTGTGGGGAAAATTCTCTTGGATTAAAGCAGAACCTGTGAGACTGTTCTAATTTCTGTACAATCATTCAGATTTAATTTTTTACTAGCCCACCTTGCTGTACATGAGCAATGTTTTCCCCTCACTCATCTGCCAGTAAAAACAATGTCACCGAAAAGCCTTTTTCAGGAACTGCTCTCTGGTCTTCCTGTCTCTGTTCCTGGGCTTTCTCCAGACTCAGCTGTCTTGTAAACCCCACAAAATCTACACGCAGTAACACGAGAGGCAGCATGACAGAAGACGAGGGAGGCGGGAGGAGAGAGTCGGACCGAATGAACGCGGACAAGCCTCTGAAGAAGTGGAGGAGGTGAGGGTAATTTGCGAGCTTCGTTTTAAAGCTTTAGAGGATCTGCCATCTATCTGATATCCATTGTGTCTCTTAAATCCTCGGTGGGTGGCTGAGCATGTGCTTGTGTGTGCCCTTCGCCTGCCACATGCTTTGATGTGCACAAAAAACTTAATGGAAAAAGGGTAATCTCACTTGAATTAAATCTAATCTAATCAGATTCTTTTTACAAGTCAAAAAAGCTTAGATAAACTAAAAAGTTTTTTTTTTTTTTTTTTTTTTCCAATTTGTTATATTTATGAAACCCAAATTGTGTTTCTGTTAATATACTGTTTATAGTTTTTAATTTAAAAAAGGAATTTTGGTTAAATTTGGCAGATCAAGAAAAAAACATTTTGGAGAAGTTTGAAGCAATGTTGTGGTATAAAACATTAATCCCCAAAACTGTTTGAGTTGCTCTCCACAGATCTAACCCTTGTAGGAAAGCAGCAAGAGCAAAATATAGTTTTTTTTTTCTTCCAGGGGGTTTTTGTGGGCTCTAGTGTCCCTTATTTGAAAGTAGGCTGACAAGCAGTAAATATCATCAGGTCCAGGAATCGAACCCGCGACAGCGAGAATTCAAAGCCTCCAAACGTGGGTAGTGCTACCCTCTACGCCACCATAGCACGCCCTGAGCAAAGCATTGTTGAAAAAAAGTAATTAAAAGAAACATTAGGAGTTTCTACATGCAGTCCAGGAAAAACAACAAATAAACAAAAAAGGTGCTCCGGTCAAATGAGAGCAAAACTGAACTTGTTGCGTTTACAACTGAGCTTGTAAATGCCATGAAGGAAGGAAAGGATAACACTGAAAGTCTCCCCGTCCCCATGTTGAAAACGTGGTGGTGGCATCTTGATATGAAGGATGTAGAGGCTACAAAATGGTTTGAGATGACTTGAGAACAAAATGAATCTTTCCCTTCAAGCAGAATCTTTCCCTTCAAGCAGAACAGCATTAAACATACAACACACTCCCTTCTGATGTTGATACTGTTTGAGCTGAGATGCTACAGAAAAATGTGTTTGCTAGAAAATACAGGCAATGAAAGAATTTGTCAAAAATCAAACACCTAATCTGATAAATTCACAGGAGAGGAAAGTTGCTGAATATGAGATTAACTCTTTGTTGCAGTTTTTCCCCCTTCTTCTCCCTGTATATGGTTATTTTCCTCTCAGGAATATTGATGCAAGTATGATTATTTTCCTGTTTGGACAGTGAGTTACTGCCTTCACGAAGCGGCCTGCAGGCGGTGGGGCGCAAGCGAGGCGGCGAATAAATGTGTGGGTACGTGGGTGGTCTTCTGAAAGCAGAATGCAGGGCCATGAAGGTTCTCCACTGCAAATGGAAGTGAACTGTTAAAGGCCACAGGAGCAGCCCAATGAAATCATAATATGCCGAAATGAAAGGGATAAAAAAAAAAAAAGGAAAACTACACGGAGGAAAGTTGGGGGCGTGGAGAACAGTGTCCCACAGATACATGGTGGAGGTCTGTGATCACGTCTGGCAGGTCTCCTCTACAGAGCAACGTTTTCATTTGGGGAAACATGCAAGAGATAGTTTATTCACCCAATAAAGCTTCAATAGATTGAAATGGTAGGACAAGCAAAGTCAGGTCAGAGAGGATTGCAGCAGACCTGATGCTTGCTGATCAAACAGCGACCACTTAAAGGAGCAACTGGGAAATGATTCTGACTCACAGGATGACTAAAGAGAAACAAGTTACAGAAATGAGTAAAAATGAACGATGAATAGATTTCACCGGAAAGTTTGGCCAAGAACCTTGGTTATGTACTGTAACACAAAATTCAATAAGGTTAGGTACAGGAATAAGAAATCGACATCAAAAGCAACCTACAGATTAACTTGCATAAAACTGTTGAAAAGCAGCACCTTGTAACCTGAATGTCTCCATTATGGTGGACTGCAGCAGAGTCTGGAGATCCTGCTTTACCAGTTTGCCATCTATGTCATCGTCTCCTCTCAGCCTTCACTCTCTCAGTCTGTCTGTCTCTGTGGATTTCCTGTGGCCTCAGGGCTCTGCTACATCCACCTCTCTCTCAGGACACAGCGTAGCCCTCAGAGCACACACACACTAACACACACGGACATGCGAACGCAAACACACACAATCGGCTCAGTGTCTCTGGGGCTGCAATGATAAGAATCTCCACCGCTTCCCTCTGGGATCAAAATGGAAAAGATGCTGCCCATTACCAGAATGTAAGTCGTTGGGTGTTTGGTCGTTTTTGTCAGTCCTTCTTTGTATATGCAGGGCTGCTGAACGCGTCCCTCTGAAGGGTTGTCTACTTCACAAACCTACATTTTTAAATGTACACTTGCGGAAAAGCAAAGATGCATTGAAAGACAAAAAAAGACAGAGGGAGAGACAAAACATGGATAAAGTGGGCAGAAGCTCTCATAGCTGCAGGGCTCCAGCTTCTGCCAATGGTTTCCAGATGGGCCTCGTTTGGCCTCTGTTGCTCCAGAGCCTGGACGTCTGTTCTCCAGTGGAGATGCACTCGCAAACAAACACAAAAAGTAAAGTTAAATATGACATACAGGCAGGGAGGACTCAGAATAACTACATCCTGAAAAATGCAAATAAATAAATAAACATTGTGTAAGAATATTAAAGCTTTATTTTGTTATTAAACTAGATTCAGGTGTTTACTATTTTTGATTTATCACATAACAGAACAATAATGTTGCCCATATAAAGCAAAACTGCTCAATACATGATGTCATCTCAACCATTATTATTTCACTAAATTTCATCACAAACCTTTGGAAACATTTTAAAACATGTGAGTGATATCATTTTATTTTATAAACGTTATCCATAAACTTTCTTTGCAACATATTTAATAAAACACATTTTTGGCTGTTTTTCTAGTTATATAATTTCATACTTCAAAATCTATTAAGGTTTTATTTAGATTTATTATTTAGATTTTTGGAGGCTAAAAATATCCATTGTTTCCTTCCTCAGCTTCTTCTCATTTCTGAAAGATAAACTTTTCTCCCTTATTTTTGCTGATATTTGATTGTGATGTTCATAAACTCTCATACTGAAATGCCAATTGTAGTTTCTTCTTATTGCATTTTTATTTCATCTAGTAGTTTTTAGATTGCCCTCTGAATTTCTCCGCTAATTAATTATTAGAAATTAATTGTCAGTAAATGCATTTTGGAAAGCTGTGGGGAATGTCAAGCAAGTGGATTTTTTTCTCCTTTTAAAATATTTTTAAAACATTAACTTTATGAACTTGATGTACTTGTAATATTCCAGAAGTGACACATTTTTCCTTGAAGACATCGTGTGGTGTGTGGCACAAAGCTCTTCCCACGCACCACTGTGGCTGCACAAAGAGTCAGTGTTCAGAGACCTTGCGGCGCAGCGATGCGTGACCTGACGGTGTGAAGCTGCCTGTAAAACCCACAGAAACAGGTACGGGTCACGGCCAACAGCAGACATGTTGGATCACCCTCCGCTTTCTCGCTGTTTCTGTTCTGCGAGTGTTTGTGCAGGGTGGAGGTGGTGACGATGGTGTGGGGTGACTGTGTCTCCATAACTCTGTATTTTTGGAAACCACATGAAACAAAACAGCCATGTCCTCTGGCACACATGGCCCAGCAGCCACCATGGAGGCCTCTGATGGTGAGAGCGACCATCCACAACACTGTCCTCCCACCCTCGACCGCCAAAGACACACATTCCAACATGCAAATAGACTCATCATACTTTGAACTTCCCATGTGGTATCAGTTTTAATCGTTTTTGCACCGTCCAAAACCAGAAGTTATCACCCACCAATGATGGATACATCTGTAAACTAAGGATATATCATTAGCAATAGTTAGCAGCCTCACAGTGTTTATATCATTGATACACAGCTGTTGAGGAATGTCAAACAAGCAGAGTGGATAAATATGTTTTCCAGGTGGGGTTCTTAATCAGCAAAAAAATTGCCCCCCCCCATCAGTTTGTGGTGTTACACCTTAAGATCGATTGATATCCTCATTAGCCAGCTAGAATGGACCGTAGCCCTAATGCGAGACCTGTGTTTGTTATTGTGCCAAAGAAACGAGTCCAGTGGGGATAAAGTTGGCTGCACTGATGGCGAACAGGAGGTACAACAAAAGAGAGAAAAATAAAGAGAGCTGAGAGGAAGAAAATATATAAAACTGCAAACACCGAGGGATTCATTTCAGACTGAAGCAGAAAGCAAAAGAAAGACGAGCTATCGATTACATTTACTGGCGACATGTATATGCCTGAGCCTTTGGTTGTCTGTTGCTCTCCCATACATTAGATGCTGCATGTATTCCCCTGCAGACCAGCCTAACATCTGGATTGAATGAGTGTCCGAGCAGACTGAGAGCATCCAAGTACATCGCAGAAGGTATTAGAGGTAATTTACTTATTAGAGAAGAAAGACTCAATCTCAGAAGCTGTGATTGTAAATGGAGTTGGAGCTTATCTGGAGGACTATCAGTATCCCTGCAGGGAAAATAAAAGTAGGCAAGCAGTGGCAGTTTAACACAAACACATGTACATCATAGCTTAAAAAACACATGAATCTGAACAGACACAACTAGACAATGCATGCAGCATAATCTGACATTATCTATTAGATTGTAGTCCCAAATTTGATCATGTAAACTGCAAACCTTTTTGTCAAAAATGAAAACATGAATGATGAATGAAAAGTACATTTTAACAGTGGTTACTGAGAACTTGAAAAAGGTTTAACATTATTTATTTTATTTTATTTTATTTTTTTACCAGCCATCTTCTTTTGGCTTTTTAGCATTCGCCAAAGATGGAATAATTTTATTTTTAAAATTATTTTATTGAACCATACCTGAATAAATACCCATGGTAACTAAAAATGTCTTTTTCAAGGGAGGCCTGGCAAAGAGGCAGAAACAAATACAAAGCAGCGGTGGTAATTGTGCTGTGTCAGCTAAAGGTACTGATTAATGATGTCACATGTCTGCGTCTCGATCACACAAAAACCAGGTTTGAAGCAGCAGCGTGTAACTTTTATTTTAAGAAGATATATATATTTACATATTTGTCATGACAATCTGTGAAAGTATCAAGCTCCTCTGCCTTCTCCCTATGGTCCTGCTGTCGTCTGAACAAATACACCATTCCATCAGAAACAACTAATCGGAGCCAGGAGGAGAGTCTCAGGCCTGTCAATCACCCTCATGTACATGCTGCTCACAACACTCTAAAACAATATAGTTCTAACATAATAATCCTAAAGCGCTTTATTTGATATAAAACTCTGCTAATCACAATTGCTGTCGAACATTAAAAAGTTCAATCTTTTTTGATAATAACATCAAAAACTTAGTTTCCACAAAAGCTTGTGACCATGTAGAGTGATAAAGCTGATTGGTCAAGCTACTTCAACCACTAGCTGATGTGGGATTCCATGAGAGAAAAGTTTATTTAAAACATCATACTCATTTATTTTAATATTAAAATAGTCAACTACAAGGAGAAAATAAGAAAATGTGCTTTACCTTGATTAAGCCCAGCTAGTCTTAAGATTATACTGTAACGACAACAACAGGCTTTGTGTCTGTTTCATGTATTCTGGGCCAGCAAAGCCTTTCGCTCCGTCCCACTTTCTGTTTAGTCTGTTATGATGGAGTTTTTTTCCGTTTTTGTGCGCATTGTTATTCTGCGGTTCTTGTTTGTATTTTCCTGTTTTACTCCAGGGCATCTGCGTGTGAGGATAATGTCACTGTTAATGTTCTCGTTATCTGCCTTGGAATCTGATGACGGTTGTGTGGCGGGTTAGTCACCATACGCCTGCCGTAAGACGGAAACATTTTCAGCTTCTTACAAATTCTTTACAAACAACCGCTGGTTCTGCTGTGGAAGAATACCAGGAATAAGAATGGGAGGTAATCTGAAACCCCCACAGAGCAGTTTAGCTTTTATTATTGCTTTCTCTGAGGATCTGACTCTGATATCTTTATTTCGGACTAACCTCATTTGTTTTGTTTCAGCTGAGGTTTGTCACAAAAACATGCTGCAGACACTGAACTAACTGAGAACTCACAAAGTATCCGAGCATCATCTGCTCTCATCTTCATCGCCCACATATTTACAAAAGGGATGAAGAGAACAGCCTGCAGGCGTTTCAAAATTTGTGATTATTATATTACTATTACGAGCAAAATGTGTTTTCACGTTGAAAAGCTCAAATTATTGTTTATTATTTTACTCGTTTCTCTAGTGCATTTGAAATTAGTTGACTTTCCGATTATGAAACTCACATCCCTTTAAGTGTTTCATATCCTGAAAGCCATTTAGATTTTATTGAAAGCTGTTTTACAAATTAAGATTTTATTTATTTAGGGGAAAGAAGAAATCCTGACCCTATTTGAAGATTAGTTATGGCTGTGCTCAGTAATAATTTAGCTCCAATTAAGCATGGACTATTGTTTAGCTTCACAAGCCAAACTTACGCAGAGCTGTAAAATCAGAAAACAAATTAGTCCCTGTCTGACACCACAAAACAGACAAATAATGTTGAAAAGCAACATGTTGGGCCCCAATCTAAAGAAATCCAAGAACAGAAAAGAGTTATGAAAATATTCCTGGAAAAGGTTTGCATGTTAATTTCTAAGACTGTGGAGCAAATGGTATTGAGAATCATTATCCATAATTCAAATAACAGTGATGAATATTTCCAGGTTTGTCCAACTTACCAAAATTACTCCAAGAGTTCATCCTGGAGGTCACAAATAAAGTCAAAGCAACATTGGAAGCACTGCTGCTCTTGATTCAGTTTGTGTTTTAGCAAAGAGACTGGACAAAAACCACATTTATTTTTTTCGTTTTTTGGCATGAACTAAAAAAGTAAAAATCCAGACACTTCAATGTGGCTGATTTAAAACAATTCTGTAAAGAAGACTCCCAAACACTTGATGGCAGTCTTTGTATCTCACATAGGGATAAGTTGAGTTGGACAGCTTTTTACCTTCACGTTGAAAACCACCTGGCTTTTTTTTTTTAATCCCTGTTATCTTTGTCTTATTTTTAAATCAGTTTTGATGACACATTTCAGGTCAACAAAACATCATAAGCAAAAGAAATGAGTAAATTGGCAAATACTTTCTCACAGAACTGTATATGTGGCAAGCCTTCACCTCTGCTCCTTGAAGAGGTGGTCATTAGTGCAAGTGAGCAAAGATCTGTTGATGTGTTTGTGTGTTTGGGGAGGCAGGGAGGCCTGTTGAATTAGGGAAGAGAGTTTTTGGCAGCCAGTGCATTGATTGATGCAGTGAATTGGGTGGGCCAAGGCTCACAGAAAAGAAGGAGGAGTGTGTGGGTGACGCCTGCCCTCAGCTGCCTCCTGTCTGATCGATCCCTGCATGGTGGAGACCAGAAAGAAAAAAAAATATCCCACTTGCTGATAAAAATGAGCTCAGATACGCCCACAGATTAAAATCCCCTCCTCTCTGACTCAGAGTTCATGCGTACATCAAAATGCCTAACGCTTCGGTGTCGATGAAGGCATGTGTGTTAGTGTCACTCCATGGCTGTTTGTGCCAGATCACTGAAGACTAACTCTGGAGTTTACGAGGGGGAGCTTTTTGTCTGGTCTCTGTCTCTGTGTCAGGGTGACTTTACCACAGTGATCTGGCTCATTTCTTCCCCTCCTGCAATCCAAATAGTTTTTTCTCTTGCTTCTTTTTTTCTTCTGTTATGGAACCCGGCAATGCAAAAATCTTTAAGAAAGAATGAAAGTGTTATACTTTGATGTCTCCACGTTTGCTCAAGTCAGTTGTGTGTAAATGTACACCAACTTGAAAGCAAACCGATTTTACATTGCTCTTTTACTCCTGTTTGCCATTTGCACCGTTACTTATCTGCTCAGCTGAAGTCGTACAACATTGAATGATCCCTTTCCGTTTCATTCTGCTTTTATCCATCTGACTGTCCATGTGTCCAAAATAAGGTACTAAACATCACTGTCTGTGTGGCCTCCATTGTTGTAATGCTGGGCTGCTGTTCATTTTCCACAAAAAAAATAAAATAAAATCCATGGTGTACCAAAACCACAGAAACAGATTTGTGTTTACGTCACCTCAAACCCAACCTAGTGCTTGTTTTGAAAGATGTTCTGAGGTGATTTCTGTGGAAAAATGTTTCTTTTAGTTGGACTGGGAATAGAGGACACCAGGTGTAGGTGCATGACATACTCTGGTTACACTGAGTTTAAATTATAAGTCCTAATTTTGGACAGCTTTTGTGCGCCAAATGTTTTGGTTTGTTTGTTTCTTCATTTTTAATCAGTTTGTTTATTAATGTCTCATTATTATTCTAGAATGACTGAAAGGAGAAAAGACAGTGAGCTTTCAAAGTTGTGCTTGGATGGGATGGTGCGGTTTTTAGATAGTTTGAAGTTTTATAGAATTGGGTATGACTCCCCCTACTGGACAGAGGCTGCTAGTCTTTCACACTACAATACATTTTGCAAGTTTTGAAGGGCTCCTTCCTGTTACTGATTCTTGTGAGAAACTGATAGTACTGAGTCTCAGTTC